ATTTTTAATGTAATGAAATCTTTGAAGCTAACATTATGACAGCTAGTTTTCAGTGTTCTTAGAGGCTCTTCAGAAACATCAGTGTCAATTAGCTGCATAACACTGAGACAGTCATTGTCACAGCCCAGTGACTTAACTCTTCCCAACCATGAAACAACCAGGCAAATTTTCCCTGTTATACATAACTAGAGATGTGGTGCATGAATTTGTGAATTGGTGGGATCCGGCCCGCCCCCTCACACCTCCCCTCATTGGGGCCGATCAGGGCCAGGGCCATGGGGGGTGAAGGGAAGGGACCACAGGCAATTGGCCAGCTGGTCCACCCCCTGGTTGAACTCCTGGTCGAGGATATTAGGCTTTTATTATATAGGATTGTAGGATAAACATCTTTATTCTGTGTTCTGTACTGGACGTGACACATTTAGTTTTGGATTTTGTCACTTGACAATTGAAATCCAAGGAGAAGAGCACTTCTTGCTAAGCAAATAAGTTGCATTTGTGTTGTTCTCTGTGGGGTTTTCTTTTTTCCCAGAAAATATTATTTTTATTAATTAACTGTTGACATGCTTTATAATGCATTTAAATATTTTTTTTATTTTTTTTGCTTTTAGAATGTCATTCTTTGAGCAAGAACAGAAAGAAAATTCAATCTTTTCATCATCATGAAAGACAAAAATCTTTAGTTATGGCTATTGATAGTTTGGAAAACTTTCAGTTTCAAAACCCATTTTTGCCATTTAGCCATATAAAAATTTAGGATTTCTCTCAAATCTAGGAACTTCTGTCAAGTTGTATTTCTTCATGTCCACGCTATAGGTTCTCTGATATGGAGTTTTCTCACGTCAAGACTTATTATTAGCTCATTGAATTGTCAGCACTCATGGACCAGTGCACCATGGCCGATGACCTTCTCTGTCCGGTTTAATGTCCTGAGTGTCAGGCAGGCATCTCTCACCAGGAAGCAGTCTTACTGGTTTCTGGTCTCTTCTCTTTGCGTGGCTGCCCTGCCACGTGGCCCGGGTTCCCAGTTCTCCCTCCTCCAACATTCTGCACCTGGAAGCCAGCCTCCCAGCCAGGTTCCTGCCCACCTTGGTTTTGGGAAGCTGCTGAAGGGCCTACTCAGTCAAAACAGGCCATCAATAGAGAAGACCCCACTGAGGACCTCGCCTGTAGAGAACACCCAGCCCCAGGGCCAAAATGCAAAACCAGCTATTTTGTAGAATGTTCTGCGGTGTGGGTTTGTTTTATTGCTTTCTCCTGGTGACATTTAACTTTTGTCTCCATAAACTGGACAAAGGTGGGCTAAAGTCTTGATTAGATTCTCATTCCTCGTTTTGGCAAGAATACCATTTTGAAAATAAAAAATAACAGTGAATTTCACTTCTCTTTGCCCCCAAAGCTGTAGCTGAAGCTGTTTTCCATCAAAGAGCAGCTTCTGTGTTGCTGACTGTGAGCCCTGAGAAGCTCTGCTGAGGGCCACACGCTGGGAGTTCCATGGAAGACAAATTTCATAGAGAACGTGGACTGACAAAGTAAGACCACTTAGAAACAGCGACAGCTAAATGCTGTCACCAGCATTCCCCCTCAAAATTTTAAAGAATATCATAATGCTAAATTTAAAAAAAGGATAAGGTAAAATAATAAAAATAGAAAGTTTTAATATACAAATGATGCATACTTTTTCAATTGAGAAATTTAATCTTAGAAAAAACTTCTTTCAGAGATCTTTCTCTTTCTCCATTTCAACAGACTAGTGACCAGTCGTCATGGGCTGTGTGAGCTTTAAAGTTTATTGTTATGTTTTTGTCCAGAGCTTTGCAATTTGCTGTGTACGGAAGCTCAGAGAAAGCCGCACAGGCCCATCTCAGCAGTATTTCATGGCCATGTTGATTCCATCCTCTGAAAACTATAAACTCACCTACTGCTCCACGGGTAGGCTGCGCTTTGGGACGCACCTGAACTCTGGCTACACCTGAAACAGGTCACAGGATCTTAACATCAGGAGGAAACCCGGAAGTCAGGCATATGGGCCAGAGCACGGCCCCACCGTGAAATGCAAGGGTCACTCGTCTCTGTTCCAACAGTCCGAGGATGGAGACTTGGAAAAGCAGGTGTTAACTCATAAGTGCGCTGACACTTGCCACTTCAGTTCCCATCCTTGTTTTGTCTTCCAGGTTACACAGACATTCAGATGCCTTGCCCACCACAGGCACTTAATCGTTTTTTAAAAACAGTTATTATCCGCTGCTTGCGGATTTTGTCCACCCCCTAAAGACAAGTGCAGTGGAGAGGAGATGATCTTGAGTCAGGACATGCTGGGGCCACCCCAGACTCTCAGAGGCTTTTGGAATTTGGAAAGACAGTTGTCTCCCGTAAAACCTGGTTCTTTATGGAAAGCAAGGTGATCAAAAACCCTATTTTGGAACTTACAGCCTGGACATTTGACTCTGTTCTTTTCATTTCTACTTTAACAATCCTAACATTTCCCAATGCAATGACTATCCTTGCCTGGATCCAGGGAGGGTTACATATAAGAAAGTCAACAAGAGCCCTGGCTGGGGGGCTCAGTTGGTTAGAACATTATCCCATCCACCAAAAAGGTTGCAGTTCAAGCTCTAGTCACAGCACATACCTAGGTCTTGGGTTCCATCCCCAGGTGAGGCATTACAAATCGATGTTTCTCTCCATTTTAATGTTTCTCTCTCTCCCTCTCTCCCTCCCCTCCCCAAATCAACAAACACATCCTCAGGCCAGGATAAAAAAAAGTCAACAAGAAATGAACATAGCTCTTTCTCCATCATCAAGGTGCGTGCGTTCACTTCTCCTTCACCATGTCTTCCCACAAAACTTTCAGAATCAAGAGGTTCCAGGCCAAGAAACAAAAGCAGAATCGGCCCATCCCCAATGGATTTGGATGAAAACTGGTAATAAAATCAGGTACAACTCGAAGAGGAGACATTGGAGAAGAACCAACCC